GGTTCAAGTGTGTGAAGGGGCGAGAGGAGGAGAGCGTTGGAGAAGAGGAGAGGCGCCGTTTTCACTCGTTGGTGGGCAGCCTCATGTATGCGGCGGTAAACACCTGACCGGACGTCGCGTTTGCTACCAGGCAGCTGGCTAGGGTTGTGCAATGCCCTAATGAGGAGCAGGTAGCAGGTGGAATGAGGGTGGCCAAGTATCTTGGCCAAACACCGACCGTTGGGCTGCAATACTCGGCGGCGGCACAAAGGCGCCAAAAGGGCGCGGATGGTGTTGAACCCGGGCGTTTGTTCCTCACCGCCTACTCGGATGCTTCATATGCATCGGAACCACAGGATATGACAAGTGTGGGAGGCTTCATATGCTGTGTTGGTGGAGGCCCAACTGCTTGGGAGAGCAAGAAGCAGGTTGACCAAGCTTTGAGCTCGGTGGAGTCCGAGTACATGGCACTCTTCCGTGCCGTACGGGAGATTGTGTGGCAGCGGTGTTTGCTGGCTGAATTGGGGGACGAGCAGCAAGGACCTACCCCACTCTACTGTGACAGCCAGGGAGCCATTGCTCTTGCTAAGAAACCTGTGTTGCATGGACTCACAAAGCACATGAGGGTGAAGTGGCATTGGACGAGGAGCATGGTGACCGCGGGTGAAGTTGAGTTGCGGTACGTGAAGACCACGGGCCAGCCGGCTGACATGATGACTAAGAAGCTGGTGGAGCAGCAGCATTGGAAGTGTTGCAAGCTAGGTGGGATGGCTCTGAACTGGGAGAGCAACATTACCTAAGGCCAACAATACGAGGGGGAGTTTGTTGGTGCAACCCTACGGTTTGCACTCGGCTTGTTGTCCGTGTGCGTGCATGTGTGTGTGTATGGAATGGTATGAGGGCATGGGATAATATATATTTCATGCTTATAATTGTGTGTGAATGTTGAGTCATGATGTCAAGTGTGTGTGTCGAGTCAATAGCGAGTTATCGCTAGACGCGTGTTACGCGGTCGTTTGTGTCTCGCGCGCGGTTTCTAATTTGTCGTGCGCGGTTTCTATTCTGTCCTGTGTCGAACGTTCGGCGTGTCGCAGGTGTGTGCGGAAGACCCATCAAGAACTCAAGGATGAGTTTGTGATGAAGAGCCCGAGCCTTGGTGTCAAGCCTCAAGTGATTTCGAAGCTCGCCAAAAGGGTGCACCTCAAGATATTGAAGATAGTTACATTACTTTGTGTAGTGTAACATTTCACTTGGTGTAGGCCCTAGTGAAGGGTAGTTTCGAGACCCTTCGTGGTTGGGGACAGTGTGGCACTGTTCCACATCACTGTACCTCGGCTCTTGGGGTTTGTAGGAGCTGGGAGTCATTCCCAACTCGTAACTCTTCCTAACTCTTCCTATCTTGTGTTCTAAGACTATGTTGCTGCCATAGTGCCGTTCGTTCAAACCGACGCTGTGTCGTCAGTTCTTAATGAAAGCGTGCGATCTAAATTGTCTATTGTAGGCGACGTTAAGACGCTCCAGATCCAAGTTGAATGAAGTCATTTGGAGTTGTGAGCAGATCGCTATGAACGTTTGAAGCCGCTCTGCAGAAATCCGACTGTGCACTCTATCTTTCGTTTTAGGCACATTGGAGCCTACTGTGACTATAACACGAGCACTTTAACCTGGTATGCCCGTGTCATGCTCCACCTTGAGCTCGGCTGCCCTGCCAACCAACACGCCGTGAAGCTGTTCAGCACCATGCTGGGCTGTCTCGTCCTTCAACGTCACCGCTCGCATGGCTGCTCCCCCATCCATCCTCATCGCCATACGCCCATCCACCTCCCTCTCCACGTCCGTATGTCTCCCCCTTCCTACCCGTACCACCCAGATTTGCCTTCCCACCACCTCCTGTTCCAACGCTCTCTTTTCCCTGCCCATCCCCCTCGCTCTGTATGTGTGTGCGCGCGTGCAGATGGGCAAGATGCTTGACAAGCACCTCGCTGCTCTAGGTATGCTGCTATCCCATGCCCTCCCTGCCCTCCCAGCCCTCCCTGCCTTCTCTGTACACGGGAGCCCTTGGCCCCTGTGCATATGAGCTGGTGGGCTACGTCTCATCGGCTCTGATTGGCAAAAGTTCTTGGGTTTCGACAACCAGGTGCAGGGAAGGGAAGGAGGATGACATAGTAGGCCTAATCATTATCACTCGCGTCCCCCATCCCTCCCATCATGTCACCCCCTTCCCCTCCACCAACACTTCCCCTCCCCATCCCTCTTCCTCCCATGCCCTCCCCTCCCGTTCAGTGTGTGAATTGTCACACACTGTAGGCACACCGTTGCGTGTCATCCCCCCCATGCTTGCAAGAATGAAGCACTGCAGATGGCGGCAGCCATCTGGCCACACGGTGTTTGCTCGCCTTCTCATACAACACGGTGCATGTGAGTGTCTCTTACTTCCGCCATCTGTCCTGCCCTATCCGTCTTGCCCTTTTTGCTTTGCCCTATCCGCCTAGCCTGAAACCACACCTCCTAACTCCTCTGACACCTCCTCCTTTGTCATCGCATCCCCTTCGCGCGCCTTCACTGCACAGCGCATCATGACATGCTTGAAATGCACGCTCACACGATGCGCAACCGAATATTCCAACCTTCTGCTTACGCCACTCTCTCTAGCGACGTTGACATCGTTTCCAGTGCCGCATGCCCGTTTCTTATTGCTACGTGGGTGCCACCGCCGCGTCTTACTAAAGCCATCGATGGAAACTTTGGGTTGGCTTCCTGCAAATTGTCACAACAGTAGAAGAATGTGGCGTGTGCTGAGGGGCGCTCGTCGTGTGCTCCGCCACGTGGCACGCTACGATAGTTGCTTGCGGAATGCGGTTATTGCGCAAGTTGGCGCATTTGCTCCTGTTGTCAATCCCTTGCTAATTATGTACGTTGTCCACTAAGCTACCTAGTTGTTATAGGCGCTTGTGTTGCCAGTTCTATGGAGCTAGATACTAGGCTATTCTACGTTTTCTGCTCTGTAGCAGGTGGGTGTGGGAGAGGCGTGTCGAATTGGTTTGAACACCCAGGGGTGTGCCCACACAGTGGTAGTGGTACAACAAGATTTTGCTGATGATTTCGACCACAAACTGTTTCTTCATTTTGATTGGCTGTCGTTTGCCTGTGCGGCTGCAGCTTTCGCCACCAGCGATTTCGTCAAATTCGCTCATACACTACCCCACTTCCGACACACTTCGTGTTGGGATTCTCTCGCCAAGCTGACCCCCCCCCGTCAAGATTACTATATTTGTGAAATTTGGGCCTTGAGCTTTAAGTTGTCTCGACAAAGAATACAATGGCTGGACAGATTTCAAGTCTTTACCAAAGATGGCATCGGAAAAGCATTGCTGGTCATAGACATTGCGGAAAACAAAGTTCAAACAAGTTTGTCAACGGAACATCTTCCGTTTATCTTCATTTGTTGCCATTCATCGACAACAACGTTTACCTCATGAAAAGTCCAATATCTTTTCTCCGTTGGCGGCTTAAGTGCATGAAGATCTAAACAAGAAACTCAAAGGTTTTTATGTTCAACTAGAAGACAAAGCCGACAATGACGCTGGCCCTGAAACTCATGCAAACATGGCTGACTTTGGAAACGCTATTAAACTACAAGATGCGCATCTGCAGCTGGAAGATAATGATTCATGGTGTCAAGGTTCTAAGGAGTTCCCGTCAGTGGGAGCTGAAAATGTTTCGCGAAGGCAACTTGTTTCATGGAGCAGCTCCATCTGCTGCTGCAACATTACATCGTCAATTTTCCCGTCGAATATTTGGAGGCGTTCGAGTCAGTTTGCGTCACCCCAAACGCCCGATCAGAAGTGTCATCGGAACCGGCTTTCACGCATTCTCACTGAAGTGACATTCATAGCAACCACTCCTTCCGTCATTCGCCTCAAGCAGGTCAAAGAGTGCAATCACCCCGACCTACCACTTTCGACAAGGCAGGTTCGGCGCCAGCCTGCCAAAGCCGAAGCAACAATTACAGCATGTGGGATGTGCCAAGGTGTTTCTGCGAGGTGTGGGAAATGTCAAAGGCGTGAAGGGAACTTTGAGCAGGCATGTTGCATTTTTTAGGCACCTGACCTTCAAACCACCGTAGAGGTTTACGCGAGGGTACGGTACGATTGTACCTAGGCCCTCTAGCCCAGTTACGACCGTGGAGTGTGTTTTTTGCATTGTATAATGTAATTTCACCTCCTTCAAAAAAAAAAAAAAAAAAGTGAACCCGAAATCTCAACCCACGGGGAAGGGACATGTGATACACGTAGACCTTGAAGCGCAATCCCCTAGATAGTACGAAAAACATGTCGTCGTCACATTTGATCACAACCTTATGACAAGAGGGAGCAGAAGCACCTCCTCTCTACCTACAGCTGTTGCTCATTTGAGTCCCCCAAGGTTGCCTTGTGCATTGGGACTGTAAATGCTTTTTTGCATTTCGTGAGGTTCGTTGGGTTTCGCCACGCCCGTCGCATGCTTTTAAAAAACACGGATTGTTGCAGCCTTGTTTTTACTGGAACAGTAAAGGGTAGCATCAGTTGTTCCTTATGTGTACTTCTTGTTACCACTTTGTTTCCCCATTGCTGCATCGCCCAATTACAACTGACAACCAAATCACACACTTACATAGCCAGAACACAGCCCACCCGCAACCAAAGTGTTCTTACACTCTTAGGCCAATCACAGCTCGACACCTAGTATACAGGAAACTCCTCCAGTCAACGCTGACATTGCATAAATGTCAACGAAATGTTGACTCTGTTGCCAAGCATGAAGGGAGTTGGAACTCCTTTGAGGTGAGATTCCAACACTCACAGACGCACCCACTCAGCCGCATCAACAAAACCGTCCACGACGGCAGGAACGCCGACGACAATCAGCGCCTGGCGAGGAGAGGGCACCGTCATCCACACGGGGAGTACGTGGCCGCGAGGAGGAGGGCGCACGCCATCAGGGGTAGCGGAAGGCTGGGGAGTGGCGATAGGCGTCATGTTCTAGTTGATTGGCGAGCTTGCCCGCTCCTTGCGCCCCACGATGATGGGGTTGCGAATTTCAAAGAGAGCGCAGAGCTCGCGGGGGGTGGCGCATTTCGCGCGCGCATATCTGATGAGCACTTCACACGCCGCCCGCGCCGTGCGACGTGCTTCGCGCGTCGCCGTGTCCACATCGTCGTACACGGTCTGCATGGTTGCGGGCAGCTCCCAAGACTGCGTCGAAAACGCCGTGGCGGGCTCAATGGCGAGGGGATCCTCGCCCGGTTCGGCACGCGTCGGCTGCCCGTCATCAATGGCGACGAAGTCGGCGGCCGGCATTGCACTCGGACCGAGCGCCAGCCGGTCGATCAAGATGCCCACGTCGCCAATCTCCTCGTCGAGATCGATGGGCAGCGGCGCAGCAGCCGTGCCGCCGGGAGTGAGCCCACCAGCGCCCACATGGGCCAAGGATAAGACCCACGCAAGTGGGAGACAGCCCGTGCGCCACCAGCAACGCTGGATGGTGCGCGGGCCGATGTTCATCCATGCGTCGAGAAGCCAGTCGAGGACCTTGCGGAGATTGGGCTTGAAGCGCGCCAGAGCCGCCGTAGAGCTGCCTTCCACCCACAGGGCCGTCACCGCCTCGAGCCAATGCTGGCGGTACGGAGCCTTCATCATCGCAATGAGGCCCTGGTCAAGCGGCTGGGTGAAGCAGGTGGTGTTCGGCGGGAGGAACACCAGCCGGTGTTGCGGAGGGAGCGAGTGCGGAAGCCGAAGATGTCCTCGGACTCCGCGTGCTCACTCTTGAGGACGTGGCTGGAAGCATTGTCGAGAAGGATGACAATGCTCTGCTCCTCCTTGAACATAGCAGCATCTAGCTGCTCCATGAAATGAGTGAAGAGCTGTCGCAGGAAAAACAGTCTACAGCGAGAAAGAATCAGTGAGTGAGATTGCATGTGCGAATTTTGCCCGGTTGGGCTAAAAATGCATGGGGCAGGGTTGGACAAATGTAACGAGCGAGCGAATGAGCTTGACATCGCTTACTGCAGAGGTAATCCACCCCTTCGTGTTGTGGCGCCAGTAACAAACGGCGTCGGGGTCGTAATCCGGACGGAACGCATGCGGCCGATTCGACTTGGAGATGACGAGCGGGCGGAACGTGTGGCTTCCATCTGCGTTCACGGGCAGGTCGACTATGAGGCGTGAGAAAATGAGAACGAGAATGAATGAACTATGAAACAGTTGGGTACAAGTACTAACCCTAATTGGGTTGTACCCCTTATGGGCTACCCCACTACACCCTACACAAAAGCATAAGCTATAATGTTCTGACACACCCCCATAGGCAAAGTGGGGGAGAACAAGCGGTCACAAGACCAGTCAAGCAAAGCAAGCTCAGGGTGGATCACAAAGTCACCACACATTCCGAGCACAATTTCAAGGCCACAAGGCCAGTTCACATGCATCAGTACATATATATAGAAAGCTAGACAAGCAAGAGAAGGTGTATATATATGTAACAGTACAAGCAAGGTCAAGAGGAGAGCAAGTGAGGCAAGACAGGCACAAGACCAAGCTGAGTACAGAAGCGCTGATCATCACAAGGCGCAAGTGCCTTGGTGAAAACATCAGCAGTGTTGGCCTCAGAGGCCACGTACGCAAGTCGCAATTGACCACGCTGCTGCAACTCACGAGCAAGAAAGTAGCGGAGAGCAATGTGCTTCGTTCTGTGCTCCAGGCGCTGCTCCCGACACAAGGCTAGCATGGCCTTGTTGTCTACGTACAGCACCGGAGGGGAACGAGGCGGCTCTCCGAGGTCAGTCAGCAGGTAGGTAAGCCAGCGAAGCTCCTGTGTAGCCATGGCCCCGGCGTAGATCTCAGCCTCACAACTGGAGCCGAGAACAGAAGACGAGCAAGTAGCCCGCCACGAAACAGAGCCGGAACCAAGGCTGAAGGTGTAATCCTGTGACGACCGCTGCGTAGCCTGGTCGTCAGCCCAAGAAGCGAACGCGTGCCCAGTGAGGACCACTGGACTCCGCCCTCCAAGCACTAGCCCCATGCCCGACGTACTGCACATGTAGCGCAACACCCTCTTCGCTGCAGCCATGTGCTCTGGTCTGTGTCTCCCAGGAGCAACATAGCGTGCAAGAATGCTAAGAGGGTATGCAAGGTCAGGTCGTGTGCAGGTCATCAGGTACATGAGGCAGCCAACAAGCTCTGGGTACGGGCCACTCGACTCTACGGACTCATCCGAAGGCAGAGCTGAGAGCGAGTGGCGAGTAGACAGAGGAGTGGCCTGAGGCGAGGAGTACGTGAAGCCGAAGCGCTGAAGGACCTGCTGCACCATGTGTGACTGAGTCAGGGTAATGGTGCGGCGTGCTCTGTCCCGAGTGATCTGCAAGCCAAGGTAGCTGCGCAGTTCACCCAGGTCTGTGCACGTGTGTCTCTTCTGCAGCTCGGACTTCACGTGGGCGAGTCCAGAAGTGTCAGCTGTGGCAAAGACCAAGTCGTCGACGTACACGAGGATGTAGAACGGCGGCAGAGAGGTCTCGGTGCGTAGAAACAGCGACGGGTCAGCAGTAGAGGGAGCAAACCCAAGAGCCGCAAGTGTAGTCCTCAGTGTGTCGTGCCACTCGCGCGGTGCCTGGCGGAGACCGTAGACTGGCCGTCGGAGGCTCCACTAGGTGCCAGGAGGGAAAGTCCCAGTGAAGCCAGGTGGACGGCGCAACCAGATCTCCTCATGCAGGCTACCCTGCAAGAAAGCTGTGCTGAAGTCAAGGGAGTGAAGCTCGTAGTCACGCTGAGCTGCTACATGTAGCAGCACCCGAAGAGTGGTCATCTACGGGGTGGGAGAGAAGGTATGAAAGTAGTCAACTCCCTGCCGCTGACTGAAGCGACGAGCCACGTACCGCGCCTTGAAGACAGGTGGAGAGCCTGGCGGCCGCTTCACCCTGAAGATCCACATGCCACTGACGATGTTCGCCCCAGGAGGGGGAACCGCGTCAACGTAGGTGCCTGTGGACTTCTAGGAAGCCATCTCTGCATCCATAGCTGCCTGCCACTGAGAGGAGTAGGGACCCTCTACGGCCTCCGCGTAAGAGCGCGGAGTCGGGATGTCTAGTGCATCCGGGTCTCCCTCAGGGGTAAGCAGTACGGACGCGAGATGAGGTGAAGCAGCAGCCAGACACTGGAACTCCTCCTGCCTGTCCTCAAGGACGTCCGTTCTAAGAGCACACTCACCCCCGACGGACGGAGGACAGACAGACTCAGACTCAGCAACAAGACTAGCGGCGTAGTCTAAACGACAGCGAGCAGCAAAGTCGACGAGCTCAGCAACAAGAGCAGACGCAGCAGTGGACTCAAAGGAGGGGTCAGTGACGACACTAGCAAGGAGACGCGTGATAGTAGGACTGGCAGCACGAAGAGAGTCCGAGTCAGGGTCGGCAAGCACAGGAAGAGACGACTCAGGAGGAGAGGGCAAAGGGGCACGCAGAGGAGCAGTGGACGGACGCAAAGACATCCGGTGCGTGCCAGGGACAGGAGGAGGATGCTGACGCGAACTGCGACCACTAGTGCGAGCAGCACGAACAAGCGACGCAGGACGAGACGCAGGCTCACGACGCTTAGCAAGACCTCCAGTAGGACCAGTGTACGGAGAAGGAGAAGGCAGTGGGGAGACCGGTGGTAACTGCGACTGCGACTGGACAGGCGGTGGACACTCTAAGGGAGGAGGAAGACCAAGAACCTGCTAAAGGAGCGGAAAAAAGTACGGCCGAGGCCGCGCGGCGACTCCAGACACAGCAGGGACAGCACCAGTACCCCCAGCGGCAGCACCTGCGTCAACAACACCTCCAGCTCCAGTACCTCCAACAGCACCAGTAGCACCCGCAGCAGGACCGCCGCCAGGACTAACAGCAGTAGCCACAGCTCCAACACCCTCAGCAGCTCCGACTCCAGTAGCACTCGCAGGACTAGCACCTCCGAGACCGGCGGCACCAGCACCCTCAGCAGCCGAAGAAGCACCAGCTCCAGTAGTACGCCTCCAGTGCCGGGCAAACCACTCGCGCAGCTCCTGTGGAGAGAGTGGCTCCCGTCGAGACGAAGCACCCGGAGAACCAGCAGGTCCAGCACCGCCAGACGCCACACGAGCAGGTCCAGCGGCCGCGGTCTCCGCACCCCCAGGCTCAGTAGCTCCAGACCCAGCACCCCAAGGCTCAGCAGCTCCAGACGCAGCACCCCCAGGCAAAGGACCCCCAGGCTCAGCACCCCCAGTCGTAGCACCCCCAGGCTCAGCACCCCCAGGCTCAGCATCCCAAGTCGCAGCATCCCCAGACGCAGCACCCCCAGGCTCAGCACCCACGCGCGCAGCACCCCCAGAGTCAGCACCCCCAGGCTCAGCACCTGCAGCAGTACCAGAGTCACCAGCAACCTCGACCGGCTCAACTGCATCTACCTGGGACACACCTGAAGGGCCACGACCCTGAGGGGGGAGGGGGTCTACCGGGGGGGGACCTGGCACAAGGAAGTGCGGTGGCGGGGGGAGGGAAGGAGTGCGGTAGGGGAAGAGGCGGTAGTAAGGTACTGACTCGTCGAACGTGACGTCCTGGGAGGACAGAACACGCCGAGAGGTGGGGTGGTAGAACTGCCACCCAGGGGCGTCAGGGGGGAAGCCAAGGAAGACATAGGGAGCAGCACGAGGGGACAGCTTCTCCGCAGACAAGTCGCGGACAAACGTCCGAGATCCCCAGACACGGAACACAAACGCATCGCCGACCTTCCCCGTCCACAGCAAGGCTGGGGAGGTCTCCGGTTTGGAGACCCTGGGGTGAAGGTTGATCTGATGCGCCGCGTACCGAACCGCAAACGGCCACAGAAAATGGGGGGCAGCCGCATGCATCATGGACGTACGAGCGACGTCCATGACCATGCCAATGCGGCACTCAGCAATCCCATTTTGCTGTGGAGAGTCCGGAAGCGTAAAGGTCTGGCGGATGCCTCACGCACGACAGTAGGCTCGCAGAAGGCCAAAGGAGAACTCTCCGCCTCGGTCAGAGTGCAGACGCAGAACAGGAAAGTCCGAGCCGAAGCTCCTCCTGAGCTGGAGACGAGCTGCGAGATCCAGTCGATCAGCACCTCAGCGACATCACCCTTGCTGCGCAAGGGGAAGACTGTGGTGTAACGCGAGTAGTCGTCAACCACCAGCAGGAAGTAGCGCTCGTGACCCTGTCCACGGACGCGGGCCGGGCCCCACACGTCCATGTGAAGCGTCTGAAGCGAGCCTCTGTCGGGGGAAACTGAGAGGAGTGAGGGGCAGCTCGGAGCCGCCCCTCGACACAGGGGACATAGGAAGGACCAGGCCCCGGAGGAAGGGGAGGGAGGGACCGGGGAAGACCAGAGACAAGGACACGGGAAGCCATGCCTCGGAGACGAGGCAGGGAGGGGTGACCAAGACGGTGGTGCCAGAGGAGAGTCTCATGAGACAGGAGGCGACACGAGCAGGGGGCAGACTCAGGACCAGACCTGGACGCTACAGCAAACACCTGACCCGACGCAGCTACCTGACCAGACGCAGTGACTGGAGGAGACTCAGTGGTCAGTGTGTACAGGCTCGACCCCAGCCGACGTGTAAACGTGGCCAGGTGTCGGCCTGTCCGAGCGTCCGTGCAGTGGGTCACCCGCTGACTCGCAGGAGTGAACTGGTGAACTCCCGTATCCTGCAGGTCAGCACCATTCACCAAGTTTGTAGAGAACGAGGGGAGGTAAAGACCAGACAGGGTGCCAGAGGGGGCAGCCGGACACGGGAGGACAGTGGAGAAGTGAGAGAGGACAGGACCCCCAGAGGGGTCTGCCAGGGAGACTGCAACTGGCCGACCAAGCGGCGTGAGTGTGGTGCGGTCTAGAAAGAAGGAGCGAGAAGCCCCTGAGTCAAGTGTGAAGGTGAGGGAGGCCGAAGCCGACGTGGTACCTGAGAGCGCAGACTCACCAGCACCTGAGGGCGTGGACGCACTGGCACCTAGAGCAGCAGCCTCACCAGTACCTAGAGCAGCAGTACCAATGCCCGGGTCGGGCGGGAAACACCGGTAACAGTCACCCTCATCACTAATAGTCACAGCATACATGGCAGCAAGGATAGCATCAAAGTCAAGATCAAAGATAGCTACGCGTGCCCTAGACAGCTCTCCCCAGCGGGGGATCTCACTAGCCTCCGGGAACTGCTGACGCCAAGCGTCCGTCAGGCGGCCAAAGCAGCGCTGGGTGGGGTGAGCACCCCCACACTGCTCACCCACGCGGTCGCCGGAGCGGAGGACGTAGGTGCACGGGCCAAAACCCCCACCACGCTGACGCTGCGTGTACCACTCATGGAGCTGCTGAGGAGGGGGGATGTCCCGAGAACGCTGCTGCTGCTGCTGCTTCTGCTGCTGGCGCTGACCACTCCCGGTGCCGCTCCATTGAGAAGTGCCACCCCGACCAGCTCCACCTCCTCCACCACCGCCACCTCCACCTCCGCCGCCACCGCCGCCTCCGCTCCCACCGCTATCGCCACCGCCGCCTCCGCCTCCGCCGCTGCCACCGCCACCTCCACCCCCGCCACCACTCCCACCGCCACCCCCACTCCCCCCGCCGCCCCCACCGCCACCTCCACCACCCCCGCTAGCCCCACCCGCGCCCTTGCCCCCCTTTCCCTTGCCAGAGCGGCGTCTCCCGCTAGGGGCAGACGCCGCACCGACCGACTCAAGACCAACGAGGTCGGCCGCAGCAGCAGAGGCGACAGAGGGCAACAGGGGGGAAGGGGAACACCCCTCAAAGATGGGGGTGCGAGGGTCACCACGAGAGGCTCCTACAGCGACTATGCTCTTCTCCGCTGCTAGGAGGGCCTTCTCTAGGAGGTCAACAGTGAGAGTGGTGGGACAGACTAAGAGGAAGTGGTCCCTGACTACGCGAAGGGAGTCAAGGAGGCGAGTGACTATATAATAGAGAGTGATGTACATGGGGGGGGGGATTCTTGGCGCAGAACTCAGCAGGAAGTGCGGCGCGGTAGCGAGTGTCACTAGTGCGGAGGTGCGTAACGAGGTCAACGACTGTGGGAAAGGCAGCAAGGTCAGGAAAGAGGTACGGTAGCATAAGGCGGCTCAGTGCAGCAGTGGCAGGGGAAGAGTAGCGCGCAACTACAGCGTCGTATAAAGTGTGAGCACTCTTGTACTGACTAAAGTGCGCGCGCTCAGAGGTAGGCAGGTGGCGCCGCACAGCAAGACGTGCAGCAACATCGCTCGTGGCCCACTGGGAGTGAACAGTGGGGTCAGCATCAGCAGCAGGGGTAGGAGAGGCGCCAGAGGTGAGGTCAAAGAGGGAGAGACCGTCTACCCTATCGCACTGTAAGAAGAGCTGCATGTCATCTACCCAAACCTCAAAGTCAATGGCTCGACCCTCAGCGTCAAAATCGAGAACACTAGGGGAAGCCATGACAGCAGTAGACTAGCGAGACCAACTGTAGGACAGGGGCAGTGCAGTGACAGAAGCGCTGGTCTCACCAGACAGGGCAAGTCGGGCAGCTTAGTAGTGCAGTAACACGGCAACACGGCTGCTCGGACGGCTCAGTAGCGACTGCGGCTCCGCGGCACCGGCGACTCGGCTGATCAGGCGGCTCGGGCGGCTCGGGCGGCTCGGGCGGCTCGGGCGGCTCGGGCAGCTCGGGTGGCTCAGGCGGCTCGGGCGGCTCGGGCGACTCGGGCGGCTCGGGTGGCTCGGGCGGCTCGGGCTGTTGTGGCAGCTCGGGCGGCGTGGGCGGTGTAGGGCGGCAGGGCCGCTGGTGAACGGTGGCGAGGCCGCTGAGTAGGGCGGCGGGGCCGCAGGAGTAGGGCGGCGGGGCCGCAGGAGTAGGGCGGCGGGGCCGCAGGAGGAGGGCGGCGGGGCCGCTGGAGTAGGGTGGCGGGGCCGCAGGAGTAGGGCGGCGGGGCCGCAGGAGTAGGGCGGCGGGTCCGCAGGAGTAGGGCGGCAGGGGCCGGTGCAGAAGGGCGGCGAGGCCGCTGAGCAGGGCGGCGGGGCCGCGAGGTAGGGCGACGGGGCCGCGAGGTAGGGCGGCGGGGCCGCGAGGTAGGGCGGCGGGGCCGAGAGGTAGGGCGGCGGGGCCGCGAGGTAGGGCGGCGGGGCCGCGAGGTTGGGCGGCGGGGCCGCGAGGTAGGGCGACGGGGCCGCGAGGTAGGGCGACGGGGCCGCGAGGTAGGGCGGCGGGGCCGCGAGGAAGGGCGGCGGGGCCGCGAGGTAGGGCGGCGGGGCCGCGAGGTAGGGCGGCGGGGCCGCGAGGTAGGGCGGCGGGGTCGCGAGGTAGGGCGGCGGGGCCGCGACGACGGGCGGCGGGACCGAAGCGACGGGCGGCGGGGCCGAGGCGACGTGCAGCGGGGCCGCTAGGGGAAAGGGCCGCTAGGGCGGCTCGACTAAGTGCGACTCGGGCGGAGCGCGCTTCGGGCAGGAAAAAAAAAAGGTCGATGTGGTGGGCCCTAGGCACAGTTCCCACGGGGGAACCTGCTCGATACCATGAGAAAATGAGAACGAGAATGAATGAACTATGAAACAGTTGGGTACAAGTACTAACCCTAATTGGGTTGTACCCCATGTGGGCTACCCCACTACAGCCTACACAAAAGCATAAGCTATAATGTTCTGACAAGGCGTTCCTTGGCGCACCGCCGTAGGTCTTTCGCGGAAGGACCGAGATCCATAGCGTGGTCTCGTCCAAATTGAACACATCCCGCAGAGAAACGGAAAGGTACATGAGAAGCTGAAGAAGCTTCTCACGGCACGTCCGCACCGCCGCCATGTCCTGATCGGCGGCCTCGCCCGATGAGGCAATGCAGCGGATGCCATTCCGCCGCATAGCACGGCGAACCCACCCGACAGAGCAACGGAAGGTGGATGGCTTGCCCATGTCGCGTGCCATCACGGCCACGTGGTCGCGGATGGTCGCCAGAGTGAGCGGGATCCCCGCAGGTCCGGCGCTGGAGATCCAGCGGACCATGGCACGCTCGAGGTCCGGATGAGCACCGCTGCGCACGCGGATGGTATTGTTAGACGCATTCGTGGCTCTCCATCACTCTGTGCCCTTGATAACGCGGCCAATCGTGGAGCGGTCGGGGCGAATCCAGAACCGGGTGAAACACAAGCGCCCCAGGTCGACATGGCGCAAACGAGGGTAGCTAACGTGATGCTCGCATATCGCTCTCTTAATGTGAACGGGGAGCTGGGAGCAGCGGAGAAGGCGAGGCATGGTGAGAGAATGTGGGCTGACAATGACTTCGTAGCTCGAGTGAATGACATTTTATCCTCACATAGTGGTGCTCGTTTGCCTCTTAGCAAAGACCCGATGAAACGTACAAAATGGGTGTGAAGAATGAACGAGGGAATGAATGAACTAGGAAGAGGGTGGGTACAAGTATGAAAACCTAAAAGAGTTGTACCCTATATTATCTACCCCAATACAGCCTACAATATGGTTCTGACACACCCCCATAGGCAAAGTGGGGGACAAGCAAGAGAACAAGGCAAGGTCAAGCTCAGGGTGGATCACAACGTCACCACACATTCTGAGCACAAGTTCAAGGCCACAAGGCCAGTTCACATGCAGGATTATAAATCAAGGTGAACAAGCAAGACAATGATCTCAACCTAGCAAGGGTAAGCATGCAGGTGCAGGTATATATAGATCACAGTACAAGCAAATTCAAGAGGTAAGCAAGTGAGGCCCGTGTCAGACTTATATGACTTAGCCTATGTAGGCTATAGTGGGGTAGCACATATGGGGTACAACACATTTCTAGGGCTTGTACTTGTGCCCAACTTTTCCCTTAGTCAATCATTCCTCATTTCTTCACATGGTATAGAGCAGGTTCCCTAGTGGGAACGCTTCCTAGGGCCCACCACTGAAAATCGAAAACTTTTTTTTCTGCCCGGAGCGCGAGTCGCCCCTGCCCGAGGCGCGCCCCGTGGGCCGCCCTCTCGTTGCGTCCCCTGCCCTTAGCGGCCCGTCGCGCCCTCCTAGAGGCCCCTCTCACGGCCCCTCGCGCCACCCCTAGCGGCCCCGTCGCCACCCTTCGCGGCCCGTCGCCGCCCCTCGCGGCCCCGTCGCCACCCCTAGCGGCCCCGTCGCCACCCTTCGCGGCCCCGTCGCCGCCCCTAGCGGCCCCGTCGCCGCCCCTCGCGGCCTCGTTTCCGCCCCTCGCGGCCCCGTCGCCGCCCGTTACGGCCCCGTCGCCGACCTTCGCGGCCCCGTCGCCACCCATTACGGCCCCGTCGCCGCCCTTCGCGGCCCCGTCGCCGCCCTTCACGGCCCCGTCGCCGCCCCTAGCAGCTCCACTGCCGCTCCTCGCGGCCCCGTCGCCGCCCCTAGCGGCCCTGTCGCCACCCCTAGTGGCCCCGTCGCCGCCCTTCTTGGCCCCTCGCGGCCTCTTCGCGGCCCCGTCCCCGCCCCTAGCGGCCCCGTCGCCGCCCTTCGAGGCCCCTTGCGGCCCCTTCTTGGCCCCGTCGCCACCCTTCCCGGCCCCTTCTCGGCTCCTCCGCCACCAGCAGCAGCAGCCGCCAGCAGCAGGCGCCGCCGCCGCCAGCAGCAGCCGACTGCAGCGGACGCTGCTGACAGCAACGGCGGCCCCCACCACCAGCAGCCGTCGCCGCCGACAGCCGCGACTGCCGCCGCAACTGCCAGCAGGAGCTGCCGCCGCGGTCGCGGCTCTGTCCCTGCCGACGCGCCTCGGCCCTGCCCCACCGCTTGCCGGCCCCTACCTACCAGCCCTGGTAAGAGCACTGCCGAGCCACGCCTGCTGCCACTACTGTCATGGCTACCCCTAGCGTTCTAGTCTTTGATGCTGAGGGTCGGGCTGTTGACTTTGAGGTCTGGGTCGATGATCTACAGCTTTTCCTACAATGCGATAGAAAGGACGGTCTCTCACTGTTCGATCTCACGTCTGGCGCCTCTGCTGCCCCTGTTGCCGATGCTGACAGCACTGTTCGCTCACAGTGGGCCACACGCGATGCTGCTGCCCGTCTTGCTGTGCGTAGTCACTTGCCGTCCACTGAGCCCGCGCACTTTAGTCAGTACAAGAGTGCTAAGACCTTGTACGATGCTGTAGTTGCACGCTACTCTTCCCCTGCCACTGCTGCCCTTAGCCACCTCATGCTACCGTACCTGTTTCCTGACCTCGCCGCCTTTCCCACAGTCACTGACCTCATTACGCACCTCCGCACTAGTTACACCCGCTACCGCGCTGCGCTTCCTGCTGAGTTCTGCGCCAAGAACCCCCCCCCCATGTACATCACCCTCTACTACATAGTCACCCGGCTCCCTGACTCCCTTCGCTCTGTCAAGGACCACTTCCTCTCTGTCTGCCCCACCACACTCACCGTTGACCTCCTCGAGGAGCGCCTCCTGGCAGCTGAGAAGAGTATAGTCACTGTAGGAGCCTCTCGTGGTGACCCTCGTGCCCCCTTCTTTGAGGGGTGCTCCCCCTCCCCCCTTTTGCCCTCTGTTGCCTCTGCTGCTGCCGTCGACTTCGTTGGCACCGAGTCGGTCGGCGTTGCGTCTGCCCCTAGCAGGAGACGTCGCACCGGCAAGGGCAAGGGGGGCAAGGGCGCTGGAGGGACTGGCGGGGGCGGTGGAGGTGGCGGTGGAGGCGGCGGAGGGAGTGGGGGTGGCGGTGGGAGTGGTGGTGGGGGTGGGGGCTTCGGTGGCGGCGGTGGAGGAGGAGGCGGCGGCGGCGGTGGCCGTGGGAGCGGAGGAGGAGGCGTTAGCGGCAGTGGCGGAGGTGGCGGCGGCGGAGGTGGAGCTGGTCAGGGTGGCTCTGCGCAGCGGGGCGGCTTCGGTGGTGGTCAGCGCCAACAGCAGCAGCGCACTCGTGAGACCCCGCCCCCCCAGCAGCTTCGTGAGTGGTACGCGGTGTGAAAGTTTAGAAGAAAGAAGAGAGCTGCACTAGCAAGAATGGGGATACAAATAGGAAACCCTAGAAGGGTTGTACTCGCTATAGAGCACCCCACTACAGGCTAGAGCATAAGATAACATTCTGACACACCCCCATAGCCAAAGTGGGGTGTAATCAGCAGAGCAAGCAAAGCAGTACAAGCTCAGGGTGGATCACAATGTCACCACACATTCTGAGCACAAGTTCAAGAAGCATTAGTTTAAAGTTAACAATAATGAGCAAAGCTAGTGGTAGTCACAACGGGCAAGTGAGGAGGAGGAGAGAGAGTGAGAGGAGAGGAGATAGGAGGCGACGGATGAAGCTGCAGACACACGGGCAACAGGAGGCACACTGGCACAGCGGCTACCGGAACAACGCTCCGGAATACTGGAGTAACTGGCCCCGCAGCTAAAGTAGCGGCAGACGAGCAACGGACCCACGGGCGGCTGGCACAGCTGGCTACGACTGGGCTACCGGACGAAGTCCCCGGAATACAGGTGCTGCTGGCGACACGACGGCAACCTCCATTCGGCTTCCCCAAACGATCCGACTCCCCCTGACACACACCCGCTGCTACACCCCTAGCTCCACTCTCACCCCACCCCCTAGCACCACTCCGTCGAATCCCACACACCCACCCCCCTCAGCGGTAGCTGCAGCAGTGGGAGACAGAGGAGGAGGAGGAGCAGGGGAGACTACACACCCGCCACCCCCCAGGTCGCCTCGACAGGCGACGAGAAAACGGGGGGGGGGGGGGGGGGGGGGGGGGGGGTGCCGTAGGTAGGGCGGCGGAGCTGGGCCGTGGGTAGGGCGACGGGACGACGGGGCCGCAGGTAGGGCGGCGGGGCCGAAGCCAAGGCCGCAGGTAGGGTCGCCCGAGCCGCGCGCAGGCGGCCCAAGCCGCGCGCGGGCCTGGCGCCACCCGTACGGGTCGCGCGTAGGCCTGGCGCGGCCCGTACGGGCCGCGGACGGGTCTGGTGCGGCCCGTACGTGCCGCGCGCAGGCTGTACGGGCCGCGCGCAGGCCACCACAGGCGACGGGGGGCGACGCGGAGGTCCCCGTCACCCGTCGCAGCGCCTCCCGGGAGCGGCGCGCGGCGTGACGGGGCAATAACCCGCCGCGCGCCTCGGGGCGCACGGCGGGAAGAGAACCGCCGCACGCCTCGGGGCGCACGGCGGGCAGACAACCGCCGCGCGCCTCGGGGCGCACTGCGGGATGAAAAACTGCCGCACGCCACGGGGCGTGCGGCACAGAGAATAGTGATAGCAGTAGCAGTAGGAGTTGCAGCGGAAGCAACGAGGTGGTAAGTCCACCCACAGGATCGATCCAAGGTGATCGACCTGCTCTGATAGCATGTGAAAAATCAACGAGAATGAATGAACTATGAATGAACTGAGTACAAGTACTAACCCTGATTGGGTTGTACCCCTTATGGGCTACCCCACTATGGCCTACACAATAAGCACAAGCAATATGTTCTGACACACCCCCATAGGCAAAGTGGGGGAGAACAAGGGGTCACAAGACCAGTCAAGCAAAGCAAAGCAAAGCAAGCTCAGGGTGGATCACAAAGTCACCACATATTCCGAGCACAAGTTAAAGGCCACAAGGCCAGTTCACATGCAGGAGTACATATATATAACGGACTAGACAAGCAACAGCAGGTGTATATATATGCAACAGTACAAGCAAGGTCAAGAGGTGAGCAAGTGAGGCAAGACAGGCACAAGACCCAGCTGCGTGCAGAAGCGCTGATGATCACAAGGCGCAAGTGCCTTGGTGAGGACATCAGCAGTGTTGGCCTCAGAGGCCACGTACGCAAGCCGCAACTGACCACGCTGCTGTAGCTCACGAGCAAGAAAGTAGCAAAGAGCAATGTGCTTTGTTCTGTGCTCCAGTCTCTGCTCTCGACACAAGGCCAGCATGGCCTTGTTGTCTACGTACAGGATTGGAGGAGAACGAGGCGGCTCTCCAAGGTCTGTCAGCAGGTAGGTGAGCCAGCGAAGCTCCTGTGCAGCCATGGCCCCGGCGTAGATCTCAGCCTCACAACTGGAGCCGAGAACAGAAGACGAGCAAGTAGCCCGCCACGAAACAGAGCCGGAACCAAGGCTGCAGGTGTAACCCTGTGACGACCGCTGCGTAGCCTGGTCGTCTGCCCAAGAAGCGTCCGCATGCCCAGTGAGGACCACTGGACTCCGCCCTCCAAGCACTAGCCCCATGCCCGACGTACTGCACAAGTAGCGCAACACCCTCTTCGCTGCAGCCATATGCTTTGGTCTGTGTCTCCCAGGAGCAACATAGCGTGCAAGAATGCTAAGAGGGTATGCAAGGTCAGGTCGTGTGCAGGTCATCAGGTACATGAGGCAGCCAACAAGCTCTGGGTACGGGCCACTCGACTCTACGGACTCATCCGAAGGCAGAGCTGAGAGCGAGTGGCGAGTAGACAGAGGAGTGGCCTGAGGCGAGGAGTACGTGAAGCCGAAGCGCTGAAGGACCTGCTGCACCATGTGTGACTGAGTCAGGGTAATGGTACGGCGTGCTCTGTCCCGGGTGATCTGCAAGCCAAGGTAGCTGCGCAGTTCACCCAAGTCTGTGCACGTGTGTCTCTTCTGCAGCTCGGACTTCACGTGGGCGAGTCCAGCAGTGTCAGCTGTGGCAAAGACCAAGTCGTCGACGTACACGAGGATGTAGAACGGCGGCAGAGAGGTGTCGGTGCGTAGAAACAGCGACGGGTCAGCAGTAGAGGGAGCAAACCCAAGAGCCGCAAGCGTAGTCCTCAGTGTGTCGTGCCACTCACGTGGCGCCTGGCGGAGACCGTAGACTGGACGCCGGAGACTCCACTGGGTACCAGGAGGGAAAGACCCAGTGAAGCCAGGTGGGCGGCGCAGCCAGATCTCCTCGTGCAGGCTACCCTGCAAGAAAGCTGTGCTGAAGTCAAGAGAGTGCAGCTCGTAGTCACGGTGAGCAGCAACGTGCAGCAGTACCCGCAGAGTGGTCATCTTCGGGGTGGGAGAGAAGGTCTGAAAGTAGTCAACTCCCTGCCGCTGACTGAAGCCACGAGCCACGTAACGCGCCTTGAAGACAGGTGGAGAACCCGGCGGCCGCTTCACCCTGAAGATCCACATGCCACTGACGATGTTCGCCCCAGGAGGGGGAACCGCGTCAACGTAGGTGCCTGTGGACTTCCAGGAAGCCATCTCTGCATCCATAGCTGCATGCCACTGAGAGGAGTAGGGACCCTCTATCGCCTCCGCGTAAGAGCGCGGAGTCGGGATGTCAAGTGCATCCGGGTCTCCCTCAGGGGTAAGCAGTACAGACACGAGATGAGGTGAAGCAGCTGCCAAGCACTGGACTTCCTCTTGCCTGTCCTCAAGGACGTCCGTGCCAAGGGCACACTCACCCCCAACGAACGGAGGACAGACAGACTCAGACTCAGCGACAAGACTAGCAGCGTAGTCTAGGCGACAGCGAGCAGCAAAGTCGACGAGCTCAGCAACTAGGGCAGACGCAGCAGTGGACTCGAAAGAAGGGTCAGTGACAACAGTAGCCAGGAGACGCGTGACAGAAGGACTGGCAGCACGAAGAGAGTCCGACTCCGGGTCGGCAAGAGCAGGAAGAGAAGACTCAGGAGGAGAAGGCAAAGGGGCACGCAGAGGAGCAGTGGACGGACGCAGAGACATCCGGTGCATGCCAGGGACAGGAGGAGGACGCTGACGCAAACTGCGACCACTAGTGCGAGCAGCACGAACAGGTGACGCAGGGCGAGACGCAGGCTCACGACGCTCAGCAAGACCTCCATTAGGACCAGTGTAGGGAGACGGAGCAGGCAGTGGGGAGGCCGGCAGTAATTGTAACTGCGACGGGACAGGCTGTGGACACTCTAAGGGAGGAGGAGAAGGACCAGTAGAAGACGGGAGACCAAGAACCTGCTGAAGGAGCGGAACGAAGTACGGCCGAGGCCGCGCGGCGACTCCAGACACAACAGGGAGAGCACCAGCACCCCCAGCGGCAGCACCAGTGCCAGGAGCACCTCCAGCTCCCGCACCTCCAGCAGCACCAGTAGTACCCGCAGCACGACCTCTAGCAGCAGTCTCAGCTCCAACGCCCTCAGCAGCACCAGCTCCAGTCGAACCCGCAGGCCCGGCAGCTCCAGTACTCCCAGTACGAGCACCTCCGGGACCCGCGACAACAGCACCCTCAGTAGCCGAAGAACCTCCAGCACCAACAGCACGCCTCCAGCACCGGGCAAACCACTCGCGCAGCTGCCGTGGAGAGAGTGGCTCCCGCAGAGACGAAGCACCCGGAGAAACTCCAGGCGGAGCACCTCCAAGCTCAGCACCCCCAGGCTCAGGACCCCCAAGCTTAGCACCCCTAGGCTTAGCACCCCCAGGCGCACCACCCCCAGGCTCAGTACCCCCAGGCTCAGTACCCCCAGTCACAGCACCCCCAGGCTCAGTACCCCAAAGCTCAGCACCCCCAAGCTCAGTACCCCCAGGCTCAGCACCCCCAGTGTCAGCACCACCAGGCTCAGCACCCTCAGCAGCACCTGAGTCACCAGTGACCTCGACAGGCTCGACCGCGTCTACCTGGGACACACCTGAAGGGGACGGACCCTGAGGGGGGAGGGGGTCTACCGGAGGGGGACCTGGTACAAGGAAGAGCGGCGGCGGGGGGAGGGACGGAGTGCGGTAGGGGAAGAGGCGGTAGTAGGGGACCGACTCGTCAAACGTGACGTCCTGGGAGGACAGAACACGGCGCGAGGTGGGGTGGTAGAACTGCCACCCAGGCGCGTCAGGGGGGAACCCCAGGAAGACGCAAGGAGCAGCACGAGGGGACAGCTTGTCCACAGACAAGTCGCGAACAAACGCCCGAGATCCCCAGACCTGGAACGCCGACGCATCGCCAACCTTCCCCGTCCACAGCAAGGCTGGGGAGGTCTCCGGCCGGGAGACCCTGGGGTGTAGGTTGAGCGGATGCACCGCGT